TCATCTTCCTCCTTCATCTTCCTCCTCCTCCATCTTCCTCCTCCTCCATCTTCCTCCTCCCTCCTCCTCCTCTTCCATCTTCCTCCTYCATCTTCCTCCTCCTTCATCTCCCTCCTCCATCTTCCTCCTCCATCTCCTTCTTCTTTCATCATCTTCCTCCCCCTCCCCATCATCTTCCTCCCCATCCCCCCCGCTCTTCTTCCCCCCCTCCTCCTCCTCCCACCTCCTTCCCCATCTCCGGTCTCTCCGGTCTCTCCGTCTCCGTCGCCGCCCGCGGGGCCTCCCCTTATAAAGACCCGGCCAAGGTGACTGGCCCGGACGCCTGGGCCCCTCCTGCCCGGGGGGGAGGGGAGGGGAGCCAAGGGCACCCAGCTCTCCTTGGGAGGGGGAGGAGCCCGGACGCCTGGGCCCCTTTTGGGGGGTTCCCGGACGCCGGGGCCCCTTTGGTGGGGAGGGGACGCCTGGACGCCTGGGCCCCCTTGGGGGTCCCCAGACCCCCTGGGCCCCTCTGGGCCCCCTCCCCTCGGGCCGCCCTTGGCCCCTGTTTCCCCCCTCCCCCCTTATCAGGGTCAGTCTTATCAGGTGGGGGGGGCGGGGGGAGGCCCGGACGCCTGGGCCCTTTTCCTGTTAATTATTAATTATTAATTATCGGTGTCTTATCGGCCCCGTTCCCGCCGCCGCTGGCCCCGCGCAGAGCCCGGTCACCCCTGCCAGGGGCCCAGGTGTCCGAGGGGCCCCGGCGTCCGGGCGCCCATCAGGCCTTGCGAGGCTGAGCTTAACGAGCTGCGATTAACCATGGGGGGTTAATTACAATGGGGGGGACAGGACCCCCTCCCGCCACTGTCACGTCTGGGTCCCGGACGCCTGGGCCCTTCACCCCCCGCCCCGGGTCAAACTGGGGGCCAGTAAGAGACGGGAGGGGGTCGGCCCGGACGCCTGGGCCCCTTCGGGGACACTCAGATCCTGGGCACCCCCCGATCCCACCCAGACGCCTGGGCCCCTCCTGGACGCCTATAGGGACTGCCCGGCCTATAGGGGCCTATAGGGGAGTCCCAGGTCTATAGGGGTCTATAGGGGAGCCTTAGATCTATAGGAGTCTATAGGGGAGCCCTGGGAAATAGGGGGCCTATAGGGGAACTTTGGATCTATAGGGAGCTATAGAGGAGCCCTGGGCCTATAGGGGAGCCCTGGGTCTATAGGGTCTATAGGGGATCCTGTCCCTATAGGGTATCTGTAGGTGACCCCCCCCCCCCGGGACCTATAGG